GTATCATCAAATTAAAAGACACAATAAATTGATATTTCAATATTTTGTACACCCCTAAGAGGCAGAGAAGCAGACAGGTGCAAAGCCAGAGGAGGAGACAGGTGCAAAGCCAGAGGAGGAGACAGGTGCAAAGCCAGAGGAGGAGACAGGTGCAGAGCCAGAGGGGCAGACAGGTGCAGAGCCAGAGGAGGAGACAGGTGCAGAGCCAGAGGGGCAGACAGGTGCAAAGCCAGAGGAGGAGACAGGTGCAGAGCCAGAGGCCAGACAGGTGCAGAGAGCAGGTGCAGAGCAGAGGAGGAGGAGACAGGTGCAGAGCCAGAGGAGGAGACGGGTGCAGAGCCAGAGGGGCAGACAGGTGCAAAGCCAGAGGAGGAGACAGGTGCAGAGCCAGAGGGCAGACAGGTGCAGAGCCAGAGGAGGAGACGGGTGCAAAGCCAGAGGGGCAGACAGGTGCAAAGCCAGAGGAGGAGACAGGTGCAGACAGGATCAGCGCTGGATGAGCTAGACAGGCTCTTGGCAGGAGAAGCAGACAGGAGCAGAGCCAGACAATCAGAAAGGAATATAGATGAAAGAACCACTGAAGATGTTTCTTTTCTGTTCACATTCACAATGGATTAGATGATTGGGCAATATTGTATTTTTTTTTTTCTCTATAATAAGAATAATTTCTTATTAAAAAAAATATATATATATATATAAAAAAAAAAATAATATATATATATATATATATATATATATATATATATATATATATATATATATATATATATATATGTATATATATGTATATATATATGAAGAACCACTGAAGATGTTTCTTTTCTATTTGTTCACATTGACAATGGATTCAATGGTTGGGCAATATTGTATTTTTATTATTATTTTTTTAATAACAAGAATAATTTCTTAAAAAAAGTAACAAAACAAAAAAAAATAAAAAAGAACAATTTTAAAAGAAAACTATCATTGTAATCTCTACAGGGTGTGAAGTTATTTTTCCATTTTTGCAAGTATCTCTAATCCCTCAAAATATCAAGATATTTCATTATCCATTATTTCACCCTTAATTAGAAATCACTTTTGTTCTAGTTTAAGGTGGTTGGAAAGCCCATCGTCTTTCTTTTTACCAACCATTATTCTTATCAAACTTAACTCCAACACATCATCAGTCCATACCAACCCTACAATTTCTATGTCTGAGTAGTTATCTGTCCTGCCAGCATTTAGACGCTAATTTTGGAGCATGTCAAACCTGCTTGGTGGCCCTTCCATTAGCCCGCCTCAGATTGCACTGAGTTATTACACCATTTAAGTTAACAATGGGCCGGGCTCCTGCGCTACACAATTCGAATCAACATTAATCGTAGCCATCTTCACATCAATGCTACGCGCTCTATAATGGAGAGATGGGGCACTTATATGATCGTCAGTCAAAAAGATAGCTAACTAAAGACCCCAATAGACGTCAGGGGTGGTCCGTGCTGAGAATGCTTATGTCCAGTTATTGTTTTCCTGAATTGTCTACAGAGGGGGGAAAGATAGCAGGGATGGTGTTGCTACAAATCTACCAAATGGAGGCGACGCAGGGAGAGCATGAATACAAAACAGACCGGGCACAGAGACAAAGGAAAATGGCCGTTTAAACAGATTTCAGCTGTGCTCATTGACTTTATAATAACAGGGTGTGCGTAAATTTGTGAAAATGATGGGAGACGTGTGATGAGAAATTAATAAAGCTGCACTATGGAACTTTCCTGGTGGATGCAATGATATTTCCTCATCAAAAATATACCTAGGGTTGTGTTTTGTTTCATTCACACATGTTCAAGACACAAACCTTGTTTATTTAGGCTGAGTTCTTCTCTCAAAAACACTGAAAACACTCTGCTCCACCTTGTGAAGTCATGTGGTAATACAGGAAGTGCTCCACTAAACTGCTAAAACTTTAAACTGCTGAACTCTGCTGAACACAAGTTATAATGTAGCTGTAAACTTAAAAACTACTCCTTCATGACATCACAAGGTGGAATAGAGCATTTTAAGCTTAGGAGATGTAGATAGGTTAATAATAAAGACTTACTCAAAGATATTGTATGTGAATGTAAAAAAAAACAAAAAAACACAACTCTAGATATGTTTTTGATGGGGATGCAACAATATCCAAGTCTCACGATACGATATCGTCACTGGTATGAACCTCACGGTACAATATTTATTTCGATATCATGGTAAAGCTCACGATGTTACAATATTATACATAAGAACAAGACTGACATTATAAAATGTTTTGAGCAGTCATTTATTATCATATTTTAATGATATAACAATGTCCAAATCTCCAAATCTCACAGTACGATGTTATCACAATCTGCAGCTCACGGTACGATATTTATTGTGATATTTTGAAGATGCTAATGATTAAAGACACTTTTTTGCTTTTGAAAATACCCTGACAAGAATTTGGTGTGAATTATTTCCGTCATAATCCCAAGAATTCAAGTGAAAAAACATATTTCTTCATGTTGTTTGCACTGAAATGAATTATGGGAAATGTAGTTCCAGATGTTTATAAGCTGTTGCTTCTATAAAAACATGCATTTAAGCGATGGAACTTGATTCGATATATTGTGACAGCCCATGATATTATTGTGAGACTTTTGACAATACGATATCACAATGTTTCAGTTATTGTTACATCCCTAGATTTTGTTGAGGTAACAGCATTATAATATGACTAAAAGCTCACAAGAGTCAAATTTGCATACCGTAAAACACCAAATAATAGCCAGGGGGTTTATTTGTTTCACTCACTTGACAGACCAGGCATTTATATGAGACCAGGCCGCAATTTGGGGCAGGTGATTAATTCCTTCCTCACAAAAATCTTGGTCAGAAACAGTGGGAAAATATGGTACTCAAATTCTTTTAGCCAGTATGACAATAATTTACAGTTTTTACTGCATGCCACGGAGGAGGCGTTGCCATTATATGATGGCCTGGCAACTACTGACTTTCCTCACCCCTTTGCCACAACTTTCCTCTTACGCCACAGCAGCTACGATGACATTCCTGGCTTTCTCCGAATTGCCAAACTGAAGTAATTTACCAAAACTCTTAAAAATTGCTTCCATTTCCTGTACGCTATGTTGCGCCATCTTTCTTTTTTATGTTACTTTGAAGGAACGTCATCTGTTCCGCCACTTTTTCAGTGATCGGACACAGCACAGAGAATATAGCCTATCCATTCCGAGTTTCACAACCAGTCTGGTAAAGGCAGGACTGACCTGAAGTCAAACTGCTCCTGTGCCGGCTATAAACATCGTGCTCTCTGTGGTGTTGCTGCACTAATCATGATATCTTAGTTAATTAAAGCACAAAAAACAGGAAATGGGAGTTTGAGCAGCTCCTCAGCAGCAGCCAGAATGACTGCTGGATTAGACTGCATTAGACTCAGCGTTTATTTGGAAAAAAAAATATACAACTGCACCTGGACCTTTAAAGTCCAGCGTGGAGTTTGCATATTCTCCCTGAGTCTGGGTGATTTTTAGTTCACACCATGTTTAAAATTTCAAGTGTTCTGGTTTGTGGTTGCTTTCTTGCCTGGCGACAGGAGGTAGGGAAATGAGGGAGGCAATTATTGATACCAGTGGACTCACATATGTCTGTAGGGCGTATTGTAAACATATATAGGACCATATAGGGTTTTATAATCATCTGCACATGTGTCTTCTCTCTGAGTCAGATGGAGAACACATCAACACATCAGCTGTTGTTTACATGCATGAATTTGATCAAGCCTTTGAACATTTCTGAATAAGAAATGACAACGTGTGAAAAATAGAAGAAAAATAGATCAATTGTTGTCAGTCATGGAATTCAGCTTTCCATCCACTTTATCATTAAAATAATCAGAACTTTCAACAAACAACAACTAGCTCTTAAAGGTGGAGGGAATTTGGGTGAAAGTGCCTTATACGATTCTTTATTACTCCTCAAATCACTGCCAGAGAACAAGGGCTTGATTGTCATTGCTAGAGACAGTGTGGCCACTCAAACGTCAATCACTCCCATATTTTTTGGACATGTACAAAATTAAAATCATTCTGGGACAATGTGTTTTAAAAAACTGATACGATCTTGACTTATTTTGTCCCTAAGGACCAAAGATATTTTTCTTGGGCCTTCTGCCTGGAGAAGTGATCGAAAAAATGGACAGATACCTTTTTAAGATTCTGACATTGGCATCTAAAAAAGCAATAACAAGAAGCTGGCTTAAAACGGACCCACCATGAATCAGTGGCTAGACATTATAGTAGAAATATATTCAATAGAATGACTGACTTTTTATATATATAACTCAAAGGACATTTCTTCATTAAACGTTAGACCAAATGGTTGGAATATAAACAAAAAGAGACATGATCCACAATTCGACATCCTTGTTGTAGTGGAACAGTGCCCCAAGCTTTGTATTGGTTGCATTTGTTTGTTTGTTTTTTACTACACAAAACCTGAAAACCTGAATAAATAAAAAGTATTTAAAAAAGTTTGACCAAAACCATATTATGTCCAAGGTTCCATATTTTGCAAAGTTGTCTCTTGTGAGCTTTAAATCATGTTATAATGTTGTTAACTCATCACAAACGTACTTGTAGTTGTGTTTTGTTTCATTCACATGTTTGAGTAACCCTGCATTATTAGTCTGTCTACATGTACAAAGCTCAAAATGCTCTTTTCCACCTTGTGATGTCATGAAGTGGTAGTTTTTAAGTTAATAGCTTCCTTTTAGTTCATCAGAGATTGGCAATTCCAGGGCTGAAATTATCCAAATGATTCTAGTGAAGTCTAAAAACACAGTAGAGCCCTTCCTGGGACACCATTTTAGCGTAATATGGGCTCTTTAAATACATTGTACTGCTTTTGACCGAATGTTAATGTATTTTGACCCTGCAGCCTCTAACCACAGCGCCCCCTGTCTGTCTGTGTGTGTATTGTTACAGATGACCCAGGAACAGTGCTCTCATAGGAACAATGTGCAGAGCTCGGACAAACCTCAGATCTACAAAGTGGGGATCTATGGCTGGAGGAAACGCTGCCTGTACTTCTTCGTCCTTCTCCTCATGATCCTCATCCTCATCAACTTGGCCCTCACCATCTGGATCCTCAAGGTCATGAACTTCACCATAGTAAGTCCACTGCTTCAACTTCAGCTTCAGTGTATTTCAATGTGGAAAATATGTTTGGGTGAAAGCAACTGCTGCGGCTGAACTGGGAATAGTAGATAATAGAGTGTTTCTGAGTCTTCATATTTTGTTTAGGGTGCGTTTACACTTCTGGTTTGATCCTGGTCTGAGTTCAGTTCATTCCTAATGTAGACTTGGTTTGGTCCTGTTATGATCTTTGTTGAGCCCTGGTACATACAGTCTTGGTTTCGTTCCAGGTGTAGTCTCAGTTTTGTGAATACAGTCGTCCCTCGCTATATCATGGTTCACCTTTTGCGGTTTCGCTGTTTCGTGGATTTTTTTTGGTGCAATTTTTTTTACAGTATGTGAACGCATATTGTGTCCCTCCCTCCTGTGTCCTGATTACGTTGGGTATGCGGGCAGGTCGTTACTGAAGCAGGACTACACCAGGACTACACCAGGATTACACCAGGACTACACCAGGACTAAACCAGGTCTAATCTTGGATTTAAAAGAGAGAACTCAGAGCAGGGTGTCTGCAACGTGCGATTGGCGACGGCCGCGATTGGCGACGGCCACGATTAGCTCTGTGAGGTGCGAAGCTCTGAGCCTGTCCTTTCTGCCGCGGTCACCTCCGAGCCCATCCCAACAGTGAGTCCTGGTTTAGTCCTGTTTTAGCCCTAGTTCAGTCCTAGTTTAGTCCTCGTCTTCAGTCCTGGAATCAGTCCTAGGTTAGTCCTGGGTTAGTCCTGGTTTTTAATTCAGTCTGTGGCGTATGCAGCGCAAAAGTTTGATATAATCGTGGGTTAAGGCAGGTGCAGTGCTGTACTGTGCGGGTCTCTGTGCAGGACTATGCGCTGCTCTATTACGGAATAAATTAATCTTCGGTTTGTTAGAAAGAAGGAGCAAAATAACATAAGGACAACAGCAGCAATAAGTTTTAAGAAGGATGCAAAAAGAGTTGCACCTGTCCTGTCTGAGAAAAGTCTATAAAGTGTGTGGTGAGGGGTTTTACAGACTCAAAACAGATAATAATTGTAAAATATAAAGTTAACTACTTCACAGATTTCACCTATCGCAAGTTATTGTTAGAACGTAACTCCCGCGATAAACGAGGGACCACTGTATATAGTTTTGCATGTGGTTTGTTTATGTGAATGCTTCCTATGTAATGCTCTATTCTCACAGGATTAGTTTTACCTGTGGACCTTTGGTGATTTGTAATAATTGTGGAGAATGCCTGAGATCTTAATCCTGTGCGAATGCGCCATGTCTGTAATTTGTAAAGTAAAAAATTCGCTGCAAATTAACTACTACTTTGCTAAACACAGACGTCCGGTGTTAATACAAGTCCTGTGCGAATCTGCTTCTCAGTGTTTGTTGTTGTAATTGCGTTCTTTCCGCATTCTTTTCTCTTTCAATCTCAGTCAGTGTGTCAGTAAAATAGAGTCATTTACGGACTTTGCTTATCCCGTGTGAATGTGCTGCAAGTAACACAGAGGTGCCGCGATAATTTGCAAATAACAAGACGTCCCCAGGTTGTACTTATCCCTAGCGAATAGGGCGTAGAGTCTATGATTCTAAGCCCTTAAATGTAACCACGGCCTGCAATGCCCATGATTCATCCCGCACACACTAGTTCACTACTCGTTTTCCCCGCTGTTTCATCCACACACAGCGTATGCCCTATTAACACCTTTTCTCCGTCTTTCCTCCGCTACTCATTTGACGAGGGTGCACACTATAACAAGTTAGAATAGTTTACTCCACATGCAGCTCTTACCTGTTGGCTGACATCAGTGCGCTATGTGAAGATCAACTTAAAATGGGACCTGAGTTGAAGCTGAACTCGACCCATTTTCTTTTGCTGGGCATTTTTGCTCACTGTACGTATTTTTGCACTGTTTGGGGATTTTTGCCACTTTGGACACTGGCACAGTAAATCCACCTGCCTTTGGAAATTCGATCTTGCCTGAATTTTTAATGGAGCCCCATCACAGGTTCCCATGCTTCTTTGAGATGTTATTGCTTTGTCTATAATGTCCCACAGTATGGCATTAAATAACAATATACACAACAATACAAATAATACATAATATGTGTCCTTTAACCTAAATCCCAATCGCGTTAATGTATAACTTTGAAATGTTGCTGAAAAAAGGATTTATGTCACAGGAGTCTGATTTTTGTCTCTAGAAGGAAGCCAGGTCCCAGTGATGTGAGATTAAAGTCTAACGTCACACCCCAGAGACTGCAAAGAGCTGCAAAGTATCAATATTGAATGGAGAAAATAAAGTTAGTATACTTATAGTTTTGAGTTTCAAGTCATGAACTTCATTGTGAACTTGGATCTAGAAGTTTTAGTGAGACCTTTCCTCAGAGGAGCTGGGGGCCATATCTTCACATTTAAAAGACCAGTTTCTTTCTGAATTCTCTTTATATTTCAGTAATGAAGGAATAGAAAATGTGATGCTTACTTAATTTGGAAGGTTATTCTGCTGGGATATGGCTATAGTTTACTTGCTTCAGTAAATTGCAAATTTTATCTCAGAGGAAAAATCTTTTTACTTTTACATTTGACTTATTTAAGCAAAATGTGTCTTGCCCCAGTACAGATACATTTTATAAGCAGCACTTGAGGTCAAAATACGTCTTTTGGGTGCTGTTTGCGTCTAATTAATAAAGAAAGCTGTTGACTGATAATCAGGAAGTGCGCTTTAGGATGCTAGTTATGTTTGGCTTTACCTTTTAACTCATCATAGTGAATAATTAGGATACCCAGAATGCAAAACGTAAGTGAGGAATAACTTTGGACCACTGCAAAGTTCTGTTTTCATGCTTCTAAGATCTTAAAAATCAGAAGTCTTAATGCAAATGGATGCTGTTTTAAAATATTTTATGGAGAAGGAAAAAGCCTATACTTTTTGTTACGGCGTTATTTCCCAGACTTCTCCACTTGCATCAGTTGCATCATTTTCTAGGAAGTGCTTTTCAATTTAAATATACAAAAAATGCAATCCTATTTGTCTGCTGTATTTAACCAACCGTGGGGCTCGATTTGAAAGTTTTCTCGCCAAGAAGTTTCTGTATAACTTGTGTAACAGTCTATAGCTTTAGCCTGATGTCGTCTTTTCAGCTAACATCATTTCTGTGCAAAGTGAGAGTTTCTGGAAATCCACGATGAGATGGAAATGCAGTTGAGTGATTTTGGCCCGTATAATTTCAAGATAGAGCTGAATCATAGCGTCATTCAGAAACACTCGGGTTCCTCCTGGGAGCTGCCAAGTGTCTGTCTTTTGCCTTTCAATTGCACCTTTTACCCAACAAAATCAATTCATTTCACAGATAATTTGGCAAATACGTTTAGCCGCTAACCCTAGCCGCTAACCTTAGCCGCTAGCTCGAGCTCTTGACAAGGAAATGCTTTTAGCCGCGCTGGAGGAGATTGGAGAGGCTTGACCTGAATCGGGGTCATGTGACGGAAAGGGGTGCATGATGGGAAAGGACCATCGAAACTTCAATCACAAGAAGAGGTATTTTTAGTTCAAATCTCTGCTGTGCGCTGGTCTGTGGTCTGTGGGTTGGTGACTGGGTACAGTTTTCTGACTTTGAATTAAACATGAGTGTTTCACAATGGAAGTTTAAAGCGTAAGCACACAGGAGCGGCACGGTGCTGAGTAAACTACAGTAATCAAACGGTCCTATTACCTATTTCCAACTGTACTTGTAATAGTAAAGGACCAATAGTTTTTTTACCTGACCAGCCAGAACCACAAGCCTCTGACAAAACTTTACAAAGACAAGGCTCTGGATCTGTATCCTGTATCCCTGATGTCCTACTTATGTCAAAGACAAACATGGCTGAGAAACTGTGCGGATTTTTATAGAATCAACAATCAAAGCACCAAACTATTACTTATTTCAGGTAAAATAAGTTATTTTGTTCTCAATATTACGAGCATTTTCGAAAGGAAATGTCTTCCGCATCTGAGACACATGATACAAATGAGCGGTTGTGGTTGGATCTTCTCAAGTTTGGACGGAGCATTTTCATGTTGTATTGTCCTGTTCCAGATCCTTCTGGATTCGAACAGAATGTAGAAGAGACTTAGCCAGGATGGTGCCACCTAGTGCCTCCGCTCAATTTCATTTCTCTCCAGCAACTAGGTCAGGAATCAGAATACACTAGACAGCACCAGCCAATCGGCAAAGAGAACAGAATAGAATAGCATAGAAAGAATAGAAAGTATTTATTGTCATTATACACTATAATGAAATTCAGAGCTGCTCCGTCAAGTGCAAGAACGTCAAGAGCTGTGAAGCCATGACTGGTCCCTTTTGTGGAACAGCACAACAGTAAACAAAGTGGTCGAGATGGATGTAGACGAAGACATACATTCTGTGTTGGCAACGGTTCTCGAGATCGAGGATTTAAAGCTGGAACAAAAAGAAAGTTTGGTGAATTTTAACAAGGGGAAAGACGTTATTGCCGTTGCAATAACGTTGACGTTGCTTCTTCCTACGGGATTTGGCACATTACATACGTCACAACCAAACAGCAGCGAATGGTTAAACAAAAAAGTTACCGTCGAGCGAACAAATCTTAATGCTGCAATGTCAGACAGTTTCCATCTGATGAAACCAGCTGATGAATCAGGCCAGAAAAGACTGGCTGGTCAGGCAAACAATATCTGGTTTGACATAATGATGAGACTGCCTTCATACTGGTCCTGGGTTAATCCCGGTTAGTCTTTTGGATGGGTGAGGTGGAGGACTGTACGGCGTTAGTAGTTTAGTCGATTTATCTGCCGATGGTCTCTAAGGTGATCAAAATTTATGTTTGTTGACTTATTATTTTATATTATAAGGATTTTATATGGGACAACAGCAGAGGGAAGTTAGTGAGTGCGTTTTTAATACTTATATGTAAAAATTCTTGTTGAATTTATGATGCAAGTTTAAAGGTCCTATATTATGCAAATTGTCTCTTGTGAGCTTTAAGT